CTCTCTCTCTCTCTCTCTCTCTCTCTCTCTCTCTCTCTCTCTCTCTCTCTCTTTCTCTCTCTCTCTCCCCTGCATATTTGACGTCTTTCTCAACGGACCACCCACATTTCCACTTCCGAGGAATAAATTGCTCAGAAAACTTTGATCAATAACTTCAGCCGTCCCTTTGTTTAAGCTGTTTCACATGTAGYGTCGAAGCTTAAAAACCAAATCCAAGTGAACTTGACCTCCGCTTTTAAGCCCTCTGGATCCACATCTTGGATCYAGTTCGGCAGTGAAAATCATGCTGTATGTCATCAGACTCAAGGAGAAGCTTTGAATTTAACAACCTTGCGTTTAATTGGGTTTTATGGGAAACTAATGAAAGCAGTGTAGTCTTTAAAACCGTCATGCATTACCCTTTGCTCCGAAAATTCCCCAGTCATACTCCGCCAAGAATAAGGAGGCCTTGAATTTTGGCCACACATGCATTATATGAGATATTATATCTTTTAAACACACTTTGTTTGCTTTATAAGAATGCGAGACTGTCTTGCCGTAATGAAACGCCATGATTACAATGTTCTGTCTGCGAATGAGCTTATCGTTTTCAAGGGCAGCCGTTTTCCCATGAAAAGTGACCGAACTCTGTGGAAAACACGTGGGAGCTGCGCAGCTCGTGCCATGCCTCCCCATATAAATATCAAACTGCTCGCTTTTCCCCAACAGAACATGACATAAACAGAGAGAGGGTCAGTCAGACCTCCCGAGCTGAAAATGGTGGAGGGGGAAGCAGCGAGTCGMAGGCTGAAAGGGAAACATAATCTAATGCGTTGTTAATTTTACATTCTTAAAAGTTCAAGAACTCAAGCTCGGCTGACCTGACAGCGTGTTTGTTTAAAAGACATTAAATTTAATGCAGCATGCTGCTTGAGTGAAGGCTTTTTATCTCCAAAATGTGTGGAACTAATTAAAAACACGGTTTTGCTGATTACAAATCAGTGGATTTTTCTCAAACGTTTTCCCTATAATTAATTATGTCACGAGTTTTTGAATCCCCAACAAATTGCTGCGTATTAGCTTCATGCTAATTCAGTGAACTGTTTCAATCACAGTGAAAAATAAAAGGGATGGAAGGGATAAAATAAATCCAGATTGAGGATTTTAAAGTATGAATTGTTTTAGCCCGTGCACCCATGAGGCCGCTCAGCAGCAGATGTGCTGCTGGCAGCTGTCGGATCACCCTGCTCACTAACGTCTTCTCTGCCTGCAGACATAAACGAGTGTGAGGACATCAGCGACAASGTCCCCTTGTGTCAGAACGGGCAGTGCACAAACACGGAGGGGTCCTACAAGTGCACCTGTTTGCCCGGCTTTGTGGCCACTGCTAAGCCCCACAAATGTATCCCAGCGATCCCTGAATCCAGGCTTCGGAAGGCAGAAAACTGAGACAGAAACTGTTTTCAGGCTGACATTTTTCTGATCCCTAAGATCGTCCTTTTGCCCTTTTTGTTTTGTTTTTTTCTTCTGAAGGCACTAAACCTCCAATGGTTACACTGTTCRTCCAAGTTTTTTTCCCTTCATATCACACACAAACACCAACATAAACATACAATAACACACAGATCTAAATCCCATCCGACACATTCAGGAGGACCAGAAACTGTTCAGTGAATGTACTACATGGGATTCATTTTTCAGCAGGAATCCGTTTGCCTTAAAGGGATTTTGTGGACTGATCTCTTATTATCAGTGACCCCAGGCAAATTGATATGCTAATATATTTTCCACAATTTCTCTGCCAATTTCCTTTTTTTTAATGTGTTATTTGTTTCAATGACGTGACGGGCCTCTGTAAATTAAAAGAAAAAAAATATTTCAGAGGGTAGACTTGATTATTTTAGTTTGATTTGCCTCCAGTTGACTTTATTGACACAGTGAGGAGAATTGAAGTGTTTTGTTTTGTATTGCTAAAGGCAGAGTATCACYATTAATATGCCATATTTCACCTTGTATCTGGGTCAGGAAATATCTGACTTTATCCCACAGCTGCCTTTCATCAAGATCCAAGCTAAAGTTGAAGAATCTCTGGACCAAAACACCACAACGTCAGCACAACTAAGCTTTTAGTWCATTAAAAGCTGCAGCACTGCACAGGCTTTGAAATACTGTAGATATGTATGATGTTCTGTGTAATGTTCTGAAAATGGTACAATAGGTAGAACCTGTTGTTTTACACCAGTTGCACATCTTAAAATACTAACACCTTTTTATATATATATTTTTTACTAGTTTAGATTTGTTCTATACTTGCATGGAGTAAAACAAAAAAAAATCTGAAGAAAAAAGAAAAAACTATCTCAGCTTTGACCATGTTTTTAAGCATAAATTTTTGAAATAAAGAAAAGGAATCTTTTTTTCATTTATCCACAAATATCACAGATTAAAACAAGAGATTGATCTTGTGTGCCAGTTTTATGGAAGCAAAAAAAATCATCTTGTTCATCTTCAAAAGCAATTTGTTTCACTCCTGTATCAAAACATGTATGTAAAGTCAAAGGCTTTGATATATATTGTACAGCTTTAGTACTATGTATTATTTTTGTCACATATTCCTTGAAAGCATTATAGCACAACAAATATTCTATTGGACAAAACACAACAAATGTAAGAAACATGCAGCATTTTAGCTTTGTAGATTTCTAAATGTCTGTAAAAATGTTTTTAAAAGCATATATTTTTCTGTATGAGAAGAGTGGCTGACACCTAACCATAGGAATTGTACGTATACCCTGCCCTGTGGAGCAGACTATGAATTATATATATATTGCAAGTGGCAGCACTGTTCTACAAAAACAAATGCTTTGAAATTTTGTGCATCACATCTTTACGGCTAAACTTCAGTAAAAATGGGCATAATTTAAGTGCTTTTGATGGATCCCTGTATAATTTATGTATAACAGACAGTATTAGCAGTCTCATTTGGATTTGGAAATTTGTATCATACCTAAATGTCCTTCAAATTCAGCACTAATATTTTCAACACATAAACACTTAAATGTAATATTTCATTGGAACAAAGACAACAGTTGATAACTTGTGTCATGTCCTGGCTTTCACGCTCTGTAATACAATTTTACAGATGTTTTCTCATGACGCTCACTGTACTTTACTGTGCTCTTCCAATCGTTGCCTGATGTAAGCCAGAGGTCTTGTCAATGAGACTAAGGCTGGAATATTGAAAGCCTTTCAAAAATTTTAATAAAATGAGACAAATGTCCTCTTGTAGAGTTGTGATCAATATTGTGCTCATTTTTGTTTACGTCTTGACTGTAATCAGAATCAGTCGTAGAAATAAATCAAGGAATAAAAATCCTCTGACAGTATAATTTATTGTGGGAAAATAGCACCACACACACACACTTTGTGTGTACCAAAAAAAACTATTAGATATGAGCAATTGTATATATTTTATTCTACAGTGTGTAGAATAGAGGTACACAAAAGGTGAAACTTAAAAAAACAATTATATATATATATACATATATATGTATATGTATATATGTATATATATATGTATATGTANGTTGCAGTTCCTCAGACCAAAGGAATACGGAGAGCTTCAACGGGTGCAGTAGATTTTCATTTACTTAGTTGAGCCAAACATCGATGGAGTACGTCCACACACACATACTGTATATATGCCCTATATACGTTGTTAGAAATAGAAATGTCACAACGGCTTYAATGAAGAGTAACATGGAACAATGGCTCCCTCTAGTGACCAAATTGTTGAACTAAAGCCATCCATCCATTATCTAATTCGCTTTTTTTAATGAGTTTTTAATCCWCCTGTTTGTCATCAAAGCGCTTCTCTTATTGCGTTATGAGGAGAATTTAAGGTGACCTAAACTGAACTAAACATACAATATAAAAAATTGGGTCACTAGGAAAGCAAATTCAAACAAAACTGGAATGACCCTTCCGATTTGCCGTAGTGGACGAAGACACTTCAAAGTCATTATGGGAAATAGTGTTTTTATTCTGCAGCGTCGCCTCCTCGCTTCGTCTTGTTGCAATTTATTGGAATACATTTCCCAGACGCCAACGCATCTCATGTACGCTTTTCGTTGACAAGGAATTACAAGCTCATTACTGGTACCGGACTGCTAATTAAATTTATGTAAATAAAATGACGGTTTTATTAGTCAGTATTAGCCATTAGCTCTGCTAGCTAGCACCGATTTGAATGCTGCCGTCGTGTGACGAAATGCTTAACTAGAAAGCTTGAATACGCGTTTCATTGATTAAAAGAAAGATTTGTAGTTCAACTAGAGTGGGAATGTGAGTCGTGTACTTGTGTTGACATTGAAAAGTGATACCTGGTGCACCACATGTGTCTATGTTAACAAAGCATCACAACAGTTGTATGAGCCTTACTATCAACCCGTTATAATAAATGATTAAGAAGTACCACCAAATCATTGGGCTTTAATTTGATTCAGAGAAAGTCTGGTCATTTAAACAAGGTTTAACTTCCTAATGGCAAAAGAAGAATGGAGTTTCCAGGAGAGCAAAGCCAGAGACACTTCCACTCTTCGAAACAGGAAAGTCTGCCCTTCAACACAACAGACATACCCGGTCACTCCTGTGTCAAAAGGCAAAAGCTTTCAAACAGCTGGACATTTGTTAGAAGATGACGCCCAGTCCTCAAATGGATCGGCTGCACCTTTATCGAACAGAGGAAGAGATGTTTTCCCAACTAAAGTGGGCCTGATGCTGGTGGTTGGGCTGTCTTTTGCTACACGTCTGTATAAAATATCAGATCCCCCTCATATATGGTGAGTAACATTTTTCTGGGTCATCTCATTAGCATCTTTCCATAATAACTCTTTCTTTTTGTGTGTTTCAGCTGGGATGAAACTCACTTTGGGAAGATGGGAAGCTACTACATCAACAGAACCTTCTTTTTTGATGTCCACCCTCCTCTTGGAAAAGTGAGCTGGCTGCTTTTAGGAACACCTAATACTGTTCAATCAAATCTAATGTAATAAATCATCTTTATTATTTTGCAGATGCTGATTGGTCTCGCTGGTTTTATTACTGGCTATGATGGCACATTTCCTTTTGTAAAGCCAGGAGACAAATATGAACATCACAATTATTGGGGGATGAGAGGAGTATGTACCCTTTCACACAGCATATTAWAGTTTTGAATGTGACCCATCACATCAAACCAAGGACTAAGTCGAATTTGGTCAAAATGACCTAAGCCTATTTTCAGATTCCTGCCTTTTAAGCTACATTTTGATACCTAGATCATCCTGATACAATGATCAGTTCCACAGATATGACTTGATTTGCCTTCCTAATCTGGATAATACATTGATATTTAGTCTGAATCCTATTTTTTGGTTAATCCAATGAGGAATTTGGGATGTCATTTTAAAGAGGAAGCCTTAAATAGTATTTGGATATTCAGATTACCCAGCTAGACAGAAAAAAGCTTTGCTAGTGAGCAAGGAAAATATGAAAAAATAAGGAATTTTTGCTCAAAATCTCATTTTTTTGTAGGTACTGTTTAAAAAGTGCTTCAGAAAATATTTCTCCACAGACCATTTTAACACTGAATCCTCTGTTCTATGTGATGGGTCGTGAATGTAAACATATACAGTATGTTCACAAAGAGTAGCTGCTGTTTATGCTCTCTCTCTCTCTCTCTCTCTCTCTCTCTCTCTCTCTCTCTCTCTCTTTTTGCACAGTTTTGTGCCATTTTAGGCTCCTTTCTCCCAGTCTTTGCCTACCTCACAGTGCAGGAGCTATCTCAGTCTCACACTGCTGCTCTCATCACTGCCACCCTGCTCATATTTGGTTAGTAATTTCATTTTCTTCACATTTTCCACAGCCCAGAACATATTATGTCAATATCCTCGCATTTCTTCCATGGAGACATTTTGGGATCCAACAATTGAACGTTCTGTTGATATTAACACATAGTTATTGGTAGATAGAAAACCCAAAAGGATGACTTATTGTGTGTTTAAATCTTTAGTAAAAAGCATTAGTGTTGTAATAAAACAGAATGCCTTCTTGCTTACCCCTTCTTCCTGACAGACACAGGTTGCATCACCATCTCCCAGTACATCCTGTTAGACCCGATCCTCATGTTCTTCATCATGGGAGCCTTTCTGAGCATGGTGAAGTTCAACCAGCAGAGGTACGAGTAGGCGACCACTGAAATATTATCTTGAAATATCAAACATGAAACACATTTATCAGAATGTTCAGGCCATTTGCCACAAATCAAACAAAGAAACAAAATAAAACATAAATGTATTTTTTCTGCCTTAACATTTTTTTAAATAGAAACAAATTGTGATTATTTTCATTCTGATTCTTGTTTTTAGGGTCTTTTCTGCACCCTGGTGGCTGTGGCTCCTGCTGTGTGGCGTCAATCTTGCAGGTGCTCTCGGAGTGAAGTTTGTGGGTCTGTTTGTCATCCTCCTGGTGGGGCTGAGCACAATCCGGGACCTCTGGGAACTTTTGGGAGACCTGAATCTTTCACCGGTAAACTTTAGCATTTTTGTAATGATAGTAATTTCAAATGAATCAGTTAAGCTATAAATTATATAT